CTCAGCTTCAGGATCTGTCCTTCCAGTGAGCACTCAGGGTTGATTTCCTTCAGAATGGAAAGTTCTGCTACTGCACTGTAACTCCCAGAATTCCCTAGTCTGCCTTGGAATTATTGCACATTTCTGTTCACAATGTTTATCTAAGGCAAGAGATATGTTAGAACCACACATGAAAAACAATTTCAGTTGGAAAGGAGATCGAACACCACAAAGGAAAAAGGAAATATCGAGTAACCTGACTTTGACAGGGGAATTTAACTGGGCGCAGTTGACTTATTTAATAAAAATTGGTTTGAATCAATTTAAAAAACAGTGAGTTGTTTTCAATGAAATGCTAACCTATTTGCTGGCCATTCACAAACCCCAATCAATCCCCACTCTCATTTCTCTGTTCTAAACAGCCATGTCATAAACGTCTGTTTTGAGATGGATACATTTACTGTGACAGCCCCCCCCCAGCCATGCAGGAAAGAAGAGTTCAAATATACAGATAATGGTACTAATCTGATTCAACTAGGGTTGCCAGATTATCCAGTTGGGTGGGTTTTACCCAGATTCTAGGCATGACTCTTGATGCCTGGTTAGAGCATCAGCTGGCTGGATCCCAATCTCTCATTAAAAAGGGAAAAATAAGATGTGTCTAAGCTTTATTGAAGATGAGATAGAAGTGAAAATACATATTTTGGCCTCTTTTTCTGGTGAGAAACAAGTTTTTCTGTGTGATTAGCCAATGAGTGGAGCATTTGACAGTTTGACAGGGCTTAAAGACTTATCGATTAAAAGCTCATCCTGTCCCACTTAATGGGTAAATGTTTAAACCATGGAAAGCCTGGACCTAACTGGTTAGTAGCCATCTGAATTCTGGTCTGTAGACCTGCCTGGAAAAATTGCATAGACAACAATGAGGCTAAAGGAATGCATGGTGGATGGTGTGAGAAACCCTAAGAATGCAGGTGAAGAAGGGTAAAAGCTGCTCATTACCTTTAAATGTTAATGTGAGAGGTTATTATGGATTCCACTGATCTGGCAATATTATACCATGCTTCATTTTTAGATGGCAACCCTCACACTGCTTGGAGGAGGTAGTTGCAGTCCCCCCCAAAAAACCAGAACTCTCCCAGATGCTGATATTATGCATCTGACTGTATTCAGGGTGGGAGTGGGGGTCAAGTCCCATCTTCTCTTCCAGGAGTTTCAGAGATATCAGGAAATAACAAAAGAAAAAGAAAAAAAACATTGTGGCACCTTAAAGATCTCCCAGGTGCTGATATTATGCATCTGACTGGATTCAGGGTGGGAGTGGGGGTCAAGTCCCATCTTCTCTTCCAGGAGTTTCAGAGATATCAGGAAATAACAAAAGAAAAAGAAAAAAAACATTGTGGCACCTTAAAGACGAGGTTTCTGAGATATCAGTAAATAACAAAAGAAAAAGAAAAAACATTGTGGCACCTTAAAGACAAACTGCTCAATTTTAATGTGACCTTTCAATGGATCAAATCCGCTTCCTCAGACAGAAGAGTGAGAGGATATTTTTGAGAGGGCATCTGGGAATTGTTAGGTGCTGTTCTGAGAAAATATGCTGAGGAAAAAGGAGAACCAATTATTGGAGTCTTGTGCTTGTTATTGCTGTTGTTGTCATTGTTGTGGCTGCTGAGTGTATGTCTGCATAACTTTTAAATTTCTGGAAGGAGGTTCCAAAAAAACAGCAAGGAAATTTGGGAAGCATTCATTTCACCTTTAATTGCTGGACCTTTGAACTCCTGAGTCCTGTGCTGAGTGGGTCAGTGATGTGCATAGATCAATATAGTGTATTGGTATTTATGAGGAAGCAGAGCCTGGGAAAGTTACTCAACCTATAGCCTCGACTTTTCCCAGCCAACATGGTCAGCGAATTTTCAGGATGAAGGAGTCTGGACAGAGTAATCTAAAAAGGGCACTGTCCCAGATTTCCTGTGAATCTCATTCCCTAACACAATGTGGTCCTTAGCAGTGAAACAAAATTGAAGCTCATGGGAGGGGAGGGGGTAGGAAGTATACTGAGGAGGAGACAAAATATGAGAGGATAATATTAAGCAGTGTGGGGGTTCCATGCTGGATTAGCAGCTCTTCTGATAAATGTACATATATTGTTTTGATAAAGGTAGTTATAGTAGTGACATAAAGGAGATAAAACACTTCAGAGTTTTCAGAGGACAGGCGTATTGATCTGTTGCATTGAAAATATGGAAATGCGTTGTGGCATTTTATGGACTAAGAAGTCCTAACTGGTATAAACTTTTTTGGACACAGTGCCAAGATTTTAGCCTAGATAAGTGAATTGATATGCCATATGTATTTTAATGAAAAGCCAAATATGAGGAAGAAAGGTAAGGTAATTGTCCCAAAATTTTTAATCTATATTGTGGAGGAAATTACACTTCGTTGTGTCGCCATGATTTTGCAGTTTGCTCTCTGTGAGGGTTTGCTCTTCTCAGGTGGTGATACCTCATTAACTTCTTCCTTTGAGGTGAATAATGACAGCGGCTCAATAGGTTCCAAAACTTCCACACTTCTTTCGGGAAGATCAAGGAAACTATTAACATCAACATTCATGTCCAACATCTCCTCCCCACTAAATGGAGCAAGGAAGGGGTTAACATCTTGTTTGATGAATGGATTAGAACCAGGGGTTTCAAACTGTTCATACCCATGAATTGGGTGGCCATCTTTTATCTCCAGTCCTGATGGCCCTAACAGCACCAGGGTTTAGGCACCAGGGGTCTTGTCCTGGATTTTCTCCCCCAAGTTCAGGAATGTCCCATGCGATGGGCTCCTGCCGGAAGCTGCCACTGTCAAATTGTGCCATTTAGCCTTCTCTCTGTCTCCTTTCCCAGACTAGCCTTTCTCCTCTCTGATCTTTCTACTCCACTCCCTGGCCTCCTTCTCTTCAGAACACAACAATTTATCTGATTTTACTTCCCTCCTTCACCTTTCAGCTTCCTCGTGGGGTATCATCAGCATCTCTCATGCCCAGGGAAAGGTGAGCCACTTCAGAATATTCTATACAGTACCTAGAAAACCCTGGAAAAGGTCACAGGAAGTTGGAATAAATTTGATGATAAGACATATACAAGCAGCGCACATGGCTGATTTACATGGTGTCCCCTCTACATATAAAACTTTGAGGCAGATTTGGTAAAGAGATACTGACTGGTCTAAGGACATCAAGTAAGCAAGAATTGGAACTCGGGTCACCTTATTCCAAATCCAGTCCACTACATATTGATGCTATCAAATCAGTGATGATTATTTAAAATCAGACTGAAAGAGCATAGCCTACAGCTATAATCGTGATCCCAGTCTGTGTCCTATCACGTCCCTTCCCAGATTTCAGCCATTCTGCTTGTGGCCAGTTTCATCAGTGTTATTTGAGGTCTTTCCCCCAACAGATGTCTCTTGTGGACCTGGTGTATCTGGTGTTATGATGCTGTGGAGAAATTTCTTCTCACCTAGCCCCCATCACCAACCTGCTCTGAATCCAAACAAAGAGCATGCAAATGAGGGCTCTCCTTGTATTCTTGAGGAGATGGAATGTTCCGCTTTGTTCCTTGCATTATCTGCGTGCTTCCAGATCTCCAACTTAAAGAAAGAAAGAAAATGGCCACGAATGGGGTGGGGTGGGGATGCCAACAATGATGACTGGGCAGCAGCGCCCTAATTGTGTGACCTATCCAATAACAAAAGCCTTTGTTGGTAGCTTATAAGTAAGATGTGGCAGCCTCAGTTTCCAATGATAATGCCTTGAGATAACAAAAGTAATTTCTACAGGCATGCTTAGTAAATTGCCATTAAGGGTGCAACTACACTGTTCAATTAAAACCGAAGCTGGTTCAAGTTTTTAGAAATCGATATCATGTGGTTTTGTGTCAGTGTGTGTCTGTTCTTATGGAAACTGCCTTTCTCCATATGCCAGGGACTCCGCAGAACCAAGAACGAGGGTGTAGTCCCACGCTCCGGTAAGGGGGAGTTTCCAAGAAGTGGCATCAACCCAGAGAGAAGAGCAAAGCATGTTCCCAGAAAGACACGAAGCCACCCACACTCCATGGCAGAGGAGACAGCTTCAGAGATCCCTTCGCCAGTGTGCCAGAGGAGGTTGGCGGGAGCAAGAATCACAAGTTTTAGTGCAGCTGCAGGGGTGACAGTGTCAGCAGCATTCGCTTGTCCCCAATCTCCTTATGTGGTTTTTCTAATATTTAATTTTTATATAAGTTTTGAACTGGCATAGCGATAGAGCGATGCACCACTAAAATAGAAATGGGGGGGGGAGGCAGAGCTCAGACTACAGAGAATCCTGTAGTGCAAAACTTGTGGAATTGTTCTACCTGAAGAGCTGTGCATTGCTCCACTCTCTGGAACGGCAGAAATATCCCCACTGCAGTCCATTTTTGTGCATTTGTCCAGAGAAGAGGGCACAGGGCTATTTTACACCCCACCACCTCTCAGCCAGTTGATCTCAGGTATAAATCTACCTCTGAAGCTGCCGTTTATTCTGCTAGGGGAAAAAAGATAAATACAAATACAATACTGGAACCTATTTTTTTGCCCCTCAGCAGGGCAAGTAGCATCTTTCCCCCTCAGCACAAGTACTGTACCAGCAAATAGCAGCAATATTTCATTGGACTGTATATAAATGAAGGCAGGGGACACCCATTCTAGGAAAAACACATGGGGGAAAGCCATCCTTGCCCCAGGGTTGCCCAGGTAAAAATGGGAATCCCATGCAGTTGCATTTAGGCAAAAAAGAGGAAAATGTCAGGGGAGCTGAGCATGCAACTCCCAGGTATCTTTCTTCCATTTTGCAGCTGTAATTTCTTGGCTTTGGATTTCAAGATTTGTGTTTTGAAAATAGACTGCTGGTGGTTTGTTCTCATCTGGTCCTGGAGGGTGGTGAGGAAGAAGAGAACTCCGGAGAAAGGCCTGGCCTTCTTTTATCCCCTCTCTGCAGGCTTCTGAACAAAAGCTCAGCCACAAGCAAGAACAAGAGCTGAGCGCAAAAACCGCAAGGCTAAGGGAGGAAATGTGAGAGGAACAGAAGGGATGTGCACAGAAACACACACACATACACACACATAACCAAAAACAAAACAAAACAAAACAACCCTTGTTTATATAACTCTCACAGCACAAAGAAGCAGTTATAACTCCTGCCTTGTACTTTTTCCCACAAAACAAGCTACATACCTGTGGCTTTGTGTGCCTTGCTTTGTTTTTTTCCGCTTAGGAGAAGAACACAACCTATAGTGTGCTATCCCCACTCTTAGTGGCAATTTACTAAGCAGGTCTATAGAAATGACTTTCCGCATCTCAAAGCATTATCATTGGAAATTAAGGAATTTTCCCTATGAGAACTTGCAATTTGTTTAATTTTTTTAGTGATTCAATAAAAGTTTCACCCTATTCTTCCATTTGTGTAATCCTAAGGACCGCACAGCTTTTTCCTATTTCTTTCTGAGGCTCTCCTGTCTTCCTTATAAGTAGAGATGGGCACTTTGGCAGGTCATGCCAGTTCATCCTTTGGATGAAGAGGTGTTCGGTGGTTCCCAGTCCCGCCTCCTTTGGTGGGCGCCCACTCAGAGGCAGTGCCTGGAGGAGGTGGGGCAGGGAAGCCCGGGTCCTGCCTCTGACTGGGCGCCTGGCAATAGAAGTGTGGCTGGAAAGTGCTGAACGCCTATTTGTCCAAAGGACGAACCAGCATTTCTACTTGTAAGCTGCAAAGAGAAGCTTTGTTATTGGACGATATGTAAATACTCAAGATAAAGATAATAACATATTGAGTTTTGGATACCAGATTAAATTCCTCTCATTTGACCTAAGCTATCTTTAACATACACATTTAATCACCAAAGATGATTTCCAATATTGTTTGGCATCTCATTTACATGATGTGTTTTATTAGTGATCAATCCTGGCATCTTTTTCGCTATGCCAGATGATAGGATTAAATAAATACCCTTCACTGCTTGTCACCTGAATCTTGCTGATCCATCATCAAGTTAGAGGTGGCCAGTGTATGCGTGTTCTCAATATTTTTTTCTGAGACTTTGTGATCTGAGCATCAAATCTCTTAACCTTGAGTGGTGGGCCTTGACTCAATATTTTCTCTTAGAGGCTGACTACATGAGCCTGCCAGTTGGTTTGCTGTAGGGACAGGCTGGTTCATTCATTCTTAAAGCCAGTGCTCAGATGTCTGCAAGGGGACAGGAGGATGAATCTCCCCTTTTAACTAAACCTTCTACGCACCTTCACAATTCTGGATGATCCTCCTCCTGGCTTGATAAAGTTTGCCAGAATGTCAAGTGAATTTCAACTAAACTTTCTAGAAAACATTTGAAATTGCAGACCAAAGCAGTTACTTGCCAACTTATTAACTTTAGATCTTTTGATACATGTCTTTTATGTATCAAAAAGCAAGAATATACTATAACTCAATGGGAGGCTTTGGACCTTGTGGTGCCAAAGGACAATGAGCACAAGTTTTGGGACAATGTTGCCCATGGTACAACGGAGGCTAGGGGATCATTGAAGTTAAGATCCCAATAGATGAGTGGACAGATTCTAGAGCTCTTCCTTCTTGGGACCATTTTTTTTAGATCCCAAGACGTGTTTAAAATATTTCATAACTGATGGACCCCTGTATTAGCCACATTGATTATGGAGATCAACATGATTGGCCAAATTCTTATAGGCTGGAAATTATCTTTGATTTTCCCAATCTTTAAAATTCATGTTCTATTCTTCTCCTATTGGCCAGTATTATACTTTGCTCCAACTTATTGAGAGAAATGTTAGAAATGTTAGAAATCATTCTAGACTTTTTGCAGCATTTGCAGATATCTCATCAATTGATTCAATTGATGAGATATCAATTGATTCAATTGATAGAAACTGCCTATGGTTGAAAATTAGGGCTCAATCACACATAACAAAAGAACCCCAGTTACCGGTATATTGATTCTACTGTTTTAAAAATCATTTAATAAATTTCCATTCACATGACACACCGGTAAGATCGATTCATTTGGCCAGCCAATTGTCTCTAACCCCGCCCCCCCCGAACAGTTGGTTTAAAATGTATGGATCATGTATTGCTTCATTCCTTATAATTTCACAACTTGTCAATGTTGCTGTTGATTTGTTTACTTTGCAAAGGAGTTGGATTTCTGGGCATTGTGGCCACTTCATGGCAACTGCACCTGTACTTTTGTATTAAAAACAAAATTAAGGAGCATCAATAAATCACTAGTAGCAGTCACCACTGCCATAAAAAATTCATTGCACAGAAGGAGACTACCTCCCACCTTTATTGGGTGTAAGGAAGGAAAGGGGAAAGAGGCTTGAGCAGGAAAAGCAGTATTTCCTGCTTTGACTTGTAAAGAAATGGGTGTTCCATTAACGTCTCCACTCTTTTTTTAACCTTGCTCTTCACAATACTTTGCAAGTGTTTTAAAATCTGCTTCCTCCTCCCAGTGCTGTTCAAGAGGGAAAAGAAAAACAAAAGTCAAGAAGTGAGAGGGAGAGATATGCAAGTAAATAAGTAAAAGGGGACAAGTGAGAAAAGGAGGGAAGGGAAAAGTGGGGGAAGAAAAATGGAAAATGGAGAAATTTATTTATTTATTTATTTATTTATTTATTTATTTCTTCTATCCAAATCACACTGTAATGACACAGTCACTCCCACAAATCCAGTGTTGATCAGTGAGGATCCACCATAGGTGAGCTTCATTTTATCAAGGCCTTGGTTTTTTTGAACAACAAAGTACCACCAGCCTCAGGATCCTATCTTTTCTGGAACTAAACACACACAAATGTATACCTGGAGTCTCATACCTACCTAAAAGAAGAAAGGGTGTTTTTATTTTAAAGAGAGAACTGAGTGAAGTGAAAAAAGTAATATAAGGGTGAAACATCCAGGCTGTTAAATCAGTGGTATTGCATGGAGCCAACGGAGTTCCACAGAACTGGATACAGAATTGGATACAGACTTCAGTTCTGAGTAATCAAATACTGTACATAATTATGTAAAGTCAATGACATATCGAGAACTACTCAGCATGTAAAGTCCTTTTTTTCCTTCTGACACTGTTCACAGGTGTCCACTGTCTTCCATTTCATGTACCTGATGAAAAAGATTGCTATCTAAACTCTCAAGGACGGACGGACGGACGGACGGACGGAAGGACGGAAGGACGGAAGGAAGGAAGGAAGGAAGGAAGGAAGGAAGGTGACATATACCACCAGGTTGCAGCTTGACTAACCGTTAGAAGTGACGGGGAAATAATAATATATCGGTTACAAATTATTAAAAAGAAAGAAAATTTTAGGGCAGCAAGCACCCCCTTTTACCTGTAACTAGTTACGTCCAAGCTCTGATCTCATTTATATCCCATTTGATGGACCTAGTTTACTGGAGCCCATTCATGCTTCTCTCGACCATATCTACTTTGGGTGCAGATCATAATATTTTGGCATTTACTTTCAGCTGAACTCCTGTTCAATGGGCTGATGGTCTCTCCTACCTTCACACAGACACAATTAATAGCATAAGTGTCATCTTAAGTGCTGGTTCCTCTCTTGGTTTTGAATACACTGGAATGACCCCAAAAATATGTTTCCTGAAAGGATGGATCAGTGATGAAGGATGATTCACATGAACCCAATTCCCCCTACATTCTGGGGAATTATGTCCAGTTTATTGACTCCTAACATCCCTTTTATGTCGGACATTTCCCAATGGAGTTGCAGTGAGGCAGGGGCACATTGCTAAAAGCATTATGAAAAATGGAGCCCATTTGATTTTCTTGAGCTAGCAGCAGTCTGCAGAGCAGTGACCTCTATTTTTACTACTTCCTCAGAAACAGGCCATGCAATCATCACTGGAAAAACAAAGAACAGGTTTCCCTGTAAATAACATGGAGATCCAGTATTTCCTGGATCATATTTTTCTTGAGCAATGAGGAAAAAATTTTTAATCCAGAGTATGTATTTCAAAGAATGAAGACACACGTTTTATTTTTACATGGTTATTAAGGAGTGCTTGAAAATGTGGGGATAAATCAGAGGAATTTCTGAATAAGATTCCCAGTGATTGTGTGGCTGGATATCAATGCCCTGGTTAGCTAGATTGTATAAAGTTCTCCTGCTGCAGAAACTGGGCATGAACAGAGTACAAAGAGCTTTGCCAGATAAGACTGAATAAATCATGCTATGATATGCTCACGCTTCTCCTGTCCTTCACACAAGTACGTTGACTACTTCTGACACCTACAGGAACATGGGACATGATGAAATGAGGCAGAAAGAGATTGGGGTGGGCAAAGCCTGGGCCCATGGACTGAAGACAGCCCCAAGAGCCTCATCCCAGAGTGGTCTCAACCTCACAATTGGCCCCAATGACAAATTGCACACCCCAAATCACTAGGGGGTGCAATTACCATCAGGGAGGGGGTTTCAGACTTTTTTTTCCAGGGTTTCAGCAGATGTCAGAGGTGGGCGGAACCCTCCAAGGTCTGGAGGAGGGGAAAACTGCTTATGAGACCCTTAAGAAATTGTCTCCCCTTATAGTACAAGTTATTGGGGATGTGTTGTGGTGGAAGGTTGGAGGTTCTTCAGAAACAGAAAGGAGCAGTTTATCAGATGACTAACCGCATGCCACCAGTAATAATTATACAGCATAAATGATTGCCTGACACACCCATATGTGTGTGTGTGTGTAGCATGTATACAAGATTTTTTTTTTAAGGAATAAACCACTGGTGATTTATCTGATAAATAATTTTGTCTTCCTCTCCTAGGATCTCTTAGATAAACTCCCAGTCTGCCATACCTACAGGAGAAACGGAGCACCAGTCAACATGATCTTGAACACCGTTCTTGTTTCCTTCATCCTTCAGTTGGGTGAGTTCTCCTCCAGAGGTGCATGCAGGACATGAATATTTTTGTTTCAGTTGATAGTGGAAGTGTTTCTAATATACTGCTCATATACTCTCCTGTTTTCTGTCTTCAGCCCAATAATTTATTTTTAATGCCTTTCAGGACAAGCAAGTTTGCTTGACAGAAAAGATAAGAAAGACATGTGGCAGTCTATAAGAAAGAGTACTTATATCATCCAGCAGTTAATAATATGAACATCAAGAGAGGCAAAAATTAAACTCGTATGTAAGCATGGCTGGGCAATTGACTACCGTGGTTTAATTTTGAAAATCCACTGGGGGCAAATAAATTGAAACAAAATTTAACAAGAAAAGCAGAGCATGAGGTTAAGTATATAAGAAAATGAAAGTAACATAAAACAGAAAGGTGGTGTAATCCATTTTAGCTATGTTGGTGAGCACAAACATAGTATTCGAAACAAAGTTTTAGGTTGGGCCAAACCTTTATTGCATCACTAAAAAGTGTCAAAGTGTTGCCTCACAAGCCTTTTCTGATCTTTCAGGGATGATGCTTCCTGTCCTTGAATGTTTAGACATAAACATTGTGGCCCATAAACCTGTTATCCTTAGCTGTCCAGTACATGCCAAAAAACCACAAACATCGAACAAGGTGTTTTGGAAACATAACCAGAAAGATATAATAAAATACACTGAAGGGAGAGTTTTTAAAGGTAAGGCTTCATTTTGACATTCCTCATAAATTGAACATTGTCAAGCAAGGGAAACCTTTGATTCAGACTGTTTTAACTTCTGGTGTTTTCCTTCTGTTCAAAGGAGACAAGTCTGCAACATATACATTTGTGAATGCAGACAATGGGAATTACTCTTTAAATCTGATAAATCCAGAAGAAGGACAATATATCTGTAAAGTGGAGGAAAACATACTAAGGACTTACGACCTTACAGTGTGGGAAAGTGAGTGATGTGATATCGAGAATAACTGGGGAGAGAAGGAAAGGGAAATATCAGCTCCCTATTTCTACCTCTTCTTCCTGGCAGTTGGTTGGGAAGAGGACAAGGGAAAGCCTAGAGTAACAAGAACTCACCAGATTGGTCTTTTTTTCCCCCTTCACAGTAACAGGATCTCAACAAAAATACTTCCTGCAAGGTGAATCCCTAACTTTGTCATTGAAGCAGCATGCTACTGTCATGAAGGAGGTCAAGGTCAAGTGGGTTAGTCCCAACAAGGTCAGTGTAACAGGTGAAGAATCACACTGGCAGCTGCGAAACAATAATCAAGATCTGCACATCAAAAATCTGGAATTTGAAAAGGACCATGGCGCCTGGGGATGTCACATCTTTCTGGACAATGTACTTATAATCTCCCACAATGTCAACGTCAATGTGATAGGTAGGAGAAACTAGTGACATGGGTCCCAAACGCCTAGAATGTGTTTTGGTCTCCCTCTAGCTCACGCATCTTTTCCTCACATAAATCCAAACATCAGCCCCAAGGTTCCCTGATAAACATGGCCAACATTCCTGGGCTGAACCAAATGACAAAGAAAAAGGTAAAATACATAATTGAGACTATATATATTAGAATTCTGCAAGACAAGGTTGTTTCCATGCTAGCTCTGAGAATAATCCATATCTGCCACATTCACATTTGCCCAAAAAAGAAGGGGGAAAAAGATCAGATGATGCTGTTGTGAAATCACTGCAGCCCCATTTTCTGTGCTGTCCTTCCATGCATTTTCACACATTATTTCAAAGCCTTTGAAATAAAACTCAGTGGAAGAGCCTGTCTTTCTTACCCAAATGGATAAAAGGTTTCTAAGGCTTTTCAGGATGTCTGCCTTCTTCATCAAAAGTGTCCTGTTTACTGTTCTTGTTTCCTGTAAATTATTGGTGGTAGACCCATAATGTATTACACTAAGCATCAGGATTTCAGTGTATTCACAAAGGCTTTCATGGCCAGGATCTAATGGTTGCTGTGAGTTTTTTGGGCTCTTTGGCCGTGTTCTGAAAGTTGTTCTTCCTAATGTTTTGCCAGTCTCTGTGGCCATCATCTTCAGAGGACAGCACTCTGTTCTCTGGTGGTCCTCTGAAGATGCCAGCCAAAGAGACTGGCGAAACGTTAGGAAGAACAACCTTCAGAACATGGCCAAAGAGCCCAAAAAACCCACAACAACAAACAGGATTTCAGTCAATTTTTGACCTTTCTGAGCACATTTTCTCTCCATGTCCTACCTTACAACTAGCAGCTGTATTTCAGACAGTGGTGGAACATGGAGTGGACTCTCCTCTAAATATTAAAATGGGTCTTCAGGGTCACATGGAAGTCAGCAGTCTTTCAATTACCTTGGTCTCAAATTGTCTGGGTTTAAAGGTAAAAACCAGCACTTTGACACTGGCCCGAAGGTTAACAGGGAAACCAAATAATACCAGAGCGATAAGTGCTCCAAAGAGCAGTTTGTATAATTCTGCAACAACTGCTCTTTCTAAACATTCGTCAAAGGCAACCTCATGTGGAACCTGTTGCAGTAATATAGCATGGTTGTGACCCAGACTGACTAGCATCACAACGATGGAATGTGATGGAAAATGTTCCCTCCAGAAGGACAGTCCTGTATGGCTGCTGTGTCAGCATTATTAACTTTACATGAAGACAATCACAAAGCAAAAGCAAACTAAATTGTGCCTTGTGGAGAGAAGAAATATTGTGCTCGGATAGACAAAATGTAGTCTCTTAAAGATTCTCTGCTTTTAATAAGGGGCTCACTATAATGTCTTGGTTCCAAAAATGGAACAGCGCTACCCGAAAGCATCTGGTTGGCTACCAGGGATGGGAACTCAAAATCATGGGACTCACTGTCAAGTCGGACTTAAGTCCCATTGGTGACTCTACTCGGACACAACTGTGTTTGGGTTTTTTTCCAATGACTCAGATTCCGCTGGTGACTCGGAACCCACCAAACCATCCTTTTTTTCTGGGCAAAAAGCTTGTTTTTAATAGGGACTTGGTACCAAAGACTCAGAACTTGGTACCAAAGACTTGGACTTGAACTTAGGACTCAGACCCGAAGACTCATCAACATGGTATGAGGTCTCCTGCCTTGGGCAGGAAAGACTCACCAACATGGTATGAGGTCTCCTGCCTTGGTCAGGGGGTTAGACTAGAAGACCTTTAAGGTCCCTTACAACAATCCAGTGCTTCTATGACATCCTCATTGGCTACTGTGACAGGCAGGCTTACTGAGACAAACTTTGGTGCTAATGCCACAGGACGTCCCTTTTATATTCTACTCCTGTGAAGAGTCCCTCAGACATAATCTGAGAGTCCTTATCACATCAGAACTTGCTGTTTCACTTGACTGAAAGAGTGCAGAAATACTGTGTATCTCTGTAGAGGTCTCTGTAAAGGAAAAAAAATCCTTCTTCCTGATGTATAGTAAGGTAAGATGAGACTTTTAAACAAGGTGGCTTATTTATTCCAGTTTTTTCTCTATCATCAATCAGGTTTTCTCAAAGCCTCAGCTAAAGATGATGATGAAATGATGTTTGCTGTTGTCAACAGTAATGTGACTCTTTCATGCCTATTGAACATCAACCTCCAAGACCAAAAGGACATTCTTCTGAATGGGGAATGGTTGAAAGATAATATAATTCTTGGGAAAGAGAACATATCCAGCAGTAACTCTACCTCCTCACTTGACAAAAAATTACCAAAAGTCCAGTTTGAGGATGCGGGAAGGTACCAGTGCCGCCTCAAATTAGAAAATAGGCAGTTGGATAAATTCATCCAGCTGGTGGTGATGAAAGGTAAGGAAAAGTCTTGGTAAGTCACGAGTTTCTGCATACTCTGGAATTCTAAATGCATGGTGGTGATTATAGAAATGGGTCTCTGTGAATAAAATACATGTTGTGCTTTAATATTTTAAAAGATTATTAAACTAAACAAGAATTCCAGTATTTGTTAGTTAGTTAGTTAGTTTGTTAGTTAGTTAGCTTGTTTGTTTAACATATACCGCCCATCTTGAACATGTCTACTCTGGGCAGTTTACACAAAATATAAAAATTAACTAAGAAGATATAAATGAACTAAAGATACAACCCAAATTAACAGCAGAATCCATGATGGAAAAAGAGAAATAGGCTAGGTGATGGCTGTAGTGTAGGTCTGTATAACCATGTATTCAGATTGGTCTTAAAGGCCCTCGGCATAAGGGGTCAGGTGTATCTGCTGTTAATTGTTCCATAGACGAGAGGCCACTGCCGAGAAGGCCCAGTTTTTTGTTTTTTCCCTTTGGATTGCTCTTGGCACTAGGCCCCTCAGCCACCCGGCCTGACTGAAACGGGTGATACAGGCAGAACTAGGTGGAAGAAGGCACTCTGCCAAGTGTCGAGGGCCTGAACCATTTAGGGCTTTATATGTAATAGTCAGTACCTTGAAAGTGATGCATAAACAAATAGGCAGCCAGTGTAAGGCAGCCAGGGTGGGGGATATATGGTGCAATATTTTCACCTCTGTTAATAGCCTGGCCTCCATGTTCTGGACCAAAGGAAGCCCCATGTAGAGAGCATTACAGTAGTCTATTCTTGAGACTATGAGTGCATGGACCAATGTGGTGAAACGCCCCTGCGTCTAGATAAGGACACAGCTGGGTGATCCGCCAGAGATGTAAGTGGGCAGACCGAACCACGGGCGCTACCTGGGTCTCAATGGTAAGCACCAGGTTAAGATGGCCCCCCAGACTGCAAACCGCACTCTTTGTGGTGAGAATCACACCCCCCCCCAAAAAAAGAGAGGGAGTTCCGCAAACCACTGACATCGGGGGAGCCCACCCCCAGGACCTCTGTCTTGTCCAGGCTCAACCTCAGTCCATTCAACTGCATCCATTGTAGGACAGCCTCCAGGCAGCGCTCAAGGGACGGAACGGCATCCACTGCAGATGGAAGAAAGGAGATGTAGAGCTGGGTGTCATCAGCATATTGGTCACACGACGCTCCACATCCCAGGATGACACCCCACCCGAGCAGCCTCATGTAGATGTTAAACAGCATTGGGGAGATGATCGAAGCCTGCGGAACCCCACAGTTGAGGGACCACGGGGCCAATACTTTCTCCCCAAGTTGGACTCTCTGGGGACAGCTCTCCAAGAAGGACCAGAGCCAAGCAAGAGCAAGGCCGCTGATCCCCAACTTGGAGAGCCTCTCCAGGAGGAGACCATGGTCGACGGTATCAAAGGTGGCTGAGATATCAAGGTGTACCAATTTTGCCCCCGTTGGCCTCTCTAAGTAGGTCTTCCAGGAGGGCGACCAATGCCATTTCCGTGCCATGGTGCAACCTGAAGCCTGACTGAAATGGATCCAGTGCGTCGGTTTCATCCAAGGGGGCCTGAAGCTGATCGGCCCCCACCCTCTCAGCTACCTTGCTGAGGAAAGAAACATTAGTAATGGGCCTATAATTGCCAATGTTGTCCACCACCAAGCTCAGTTTCTTCCTAATGGGCATAATGAGTGTTTCCTTAAGGGTAAGGTTGCCCTCAAGAAGAGACCCATTTATTATTTCAGTAGCCCATTCAGTTATCACCGGCCTGGCAGCTTTGATTAGCCAGGCCGGGCAAGGCTCAAGGGAGGAGGTGGTGGATCAGCAGTGATCAAGGATCTTGCCCACCTCTGCGAACGTCACAGGTTGAAACTGAGTAATTCTCAACGGACAAGGCACTGCGCTGGATGTCTCAGCTCGATCCACTCTTTTCAAATAGGGTGCAAGATCCTAGCAGTTGGCCCCCACTTTTGATTTAAAGAATGCTGCAAATTGGCCACAAGAAATGCTAGGTGGAGGCCAATCATTGTGGCCAATTCCAGATAGATCACATACTATATGGAAAGTTCTGCCTGCTTTTGCAACCTAACATTATGGATCCAAACTTTTCTTTCTTTCTTTCTTTCTTTCTTTCTTTCTTTCTTTCTTTCTTTCTTTCTTTCTTTCTTTCTTTCTTTCTTTCTTTCTTTCTTTCTTTCTTTCTTTCTTTCTTTCTTTCTTTCTATTTATATATGTTAAACCCCTTTACAGATATTAGACCAGCCTGCAAAATTTTGACTAAAACTGATGATACTAAATCCATTGTATATTTTAGATGCCTCATCCTGCCCCACATGTACCACAAATATGTGCCACTGGTTTTGGTGGGGTGTTTTTTGCTGGATCTACAAAGGACTTGGACCTACATTTGGCCATCCAAAATCAACAACAAGAAGAACAAAACCTTCATAATTGCAGTTTAGAGCCAATAGAACACATGGGTCATAAATGAAGCTCAGATGATTGGGACTCTGTGAAATAGTTCTGACCTCCTGCTGACCAGATTGTAAAGCCAGCACCAGTTATACTTTTATAGAGGGAATGTTCCATAAGAGGAACTCCACATCAGAGAAGAATCTCTCCCCTTTTTACCTATACAGTCTGCTTTTCCTTATATGGTTCATACAGGAGACATTTTTTTTGTGATGCAAAAAAAAAGCCCCCACCATGCCTTTAATGAACAACATACGTGGGAAATGATCAAATAAACATCAAAAGACATAGGTAAATTAATAGAGGGATGTGTTCTTTTGAACACCCGAGCTGTTTAGATGCATAAAGGTAAGCAACAGAATCTGAACTGGTAGTCCCAATTAAAGCAAACCCATTGAATCGATAGGATTTACACTGATTCACAATGAAGCCACTGGTTCAATAGAACTGCTTTTGGTTGTGTCCACACTGGCAAGCTGAACTGGAGATACTAGCTTTGCTACAACTTGATTCACAGCCTATTTTGCACTTCTGTTCAGAGTAGATGATCACACAGAGGCTGTGGATTGTTTTGATGTCAGTATCCACACGGGCCCCTCAGTCCAATGAAACTGGGTGTTTATCACAGCCCACATACACCCTTCCTTGGATCCCACCCTCTGCCAATCCCCGACTTGCCTTTTTTTGGTTTATAAGCTGATATGGCATGGCATTCAGAGAAAGAAACAGTCTGTCAGAGTTATCCATAACATGCAAATGCATACACACACGACCCAGAAACATAGCAGTTTGCTGCAGTTCATCAGAGCTGTTTCTGTTTCATATCAATTTTTATTACTTTTTTTCCCAGCACTAAACTAGCAGTGCAGTAATAAGGTGATCTAGCAATACATTTAGTAGTTTTTAAAAAATCTGACTGACTAGGGAGAAAGATCGTGGGAGTGGGCCTTCTCAGTGTCCAAAAATCACACTCGGTTTGCTTATGCTCACAAAAGAAAAACCCTGTTCAGATTGCTCCAGCTTTAAGAAAGTAGAATCCCTTAGTGGCAAAAACTTGGGAGGGACTCCGCATCTGGAAACAAAAAGGACTGGACTGATTCTCACTGGCCTTTGTGTCATAGGATCAGTTTAAAAAGTTTAAAATCATCTCTTTTACTTCTACAGCAAATGCTAAATTATTTGCCAGTGTAATTTCATCCTTAGTTTGGAGTTTCAACTGAATGTATTTTGTTTATTTTTATTTATTTTATTTTATTTATTTATTGTCATTGTAAGTATATACACAGTATACCCATACAATGAAATTTACAGACACTCAGAGACCAGACACATGCACACACATAAAATTCCCCAAACACTCCCCACCCACTAAAAGTCCCCACTAAAAATACAGACATCTAAACCGCAGGCCAAGTAACACAGTCCAACTAACTATTCACTACTGGTGGTCTTTAAGCTCATTATTAAGTGCAATTATAGCTCTGGGATAAAAACTTTTCAGAAAACGTATGCCCTTGCCCAGCCAAGAAAAAGGCTTTGGATAAACTGATTTTTGCTGGGTTAGAAGGACTATACTTCCTGCCTTGTGGTCCCTTTGTTGGACTAAGGCAAACCCCCAAAAGGAGACATCTTTTCCCCTTTGTGATTATTGTGCTGTGGACTTGTACATTTCATAATGATTCCTGTAGCATCCAGGATTCCATCAGCTTTTAAGGGTTGCACATAATACTTTTTTCTGCACCCATGGATCAGTGGGTCCACATAGATGGTCCAAAAACAAAGGGTACATTTTGTTGGAGTATTGACAGGTTTAAATTAAACCTGGTGGAATTGTTGAATACTGTACAATTCTGTGAGTATTTGTCAGGATCAGAGCTGTAGAAATATGTATAGCTAGAATTTATACAGCTGAGTTAATTGTGACAGCTGAGGAAGAAATCTCAGGATTAGAAAATCCTGAGATAAAGCTAGCAGACCTAGCACACACACTCTGTGGGTTGGATGGTGTTGGTGTTGTGGTGGTGCTATGTTCTACTGTTAGCGCCACCTGGTGTATCCTGGTAATACCGCACCTCTGTCAAGTATCCTATAACTAGTTGCAACTAGAGTGGACTCGTTGACTCAGTGGGATGTGTATGTATGTGTTGACTTCCCATTCCACAGTTGATTCAGTGGCTTTACTCTTAATTGAGAGTGAGACTGTTACTGGCCTGTATATTCTTGCTGCCTGATCAAACACGTGCTGATAAAACTGGAATATCTGAAGAACTCCTCTTCCCCCCTCCCCCTGTGGTCATCACAATAACAGAGAAATTATTTTTCTCAAGATAGTGGTGGGGAGAGAGAGATGCTTAAAGTCTCCCTTTGTACTCCTGTACTCTGTCCTCACTTGCCTTGGCACAGGAAGTGTCTCTTGTGACACGGAGGATTCTCAGGTACTGTGTGGAAACTGGGTACCCATGAATTTGTCTTTCTCCATTTCTCTGCAGTCTTTCTTGAGCCCTCCTCGGAAGAAGGCAAAGGGACCTTGTGCTGCCAAGTCTCTGCTCCTGCCCCTCCCACGACACAACTGTGCTGGGTTCATGCGAATACGACCAATTGTTCTCATGGCTTTTTAGATAGTCCGTTTTGTCACCCAGTCACAACCACAGGACTCTGGAGGTGTGATCTCAAAGTGAAGAATGAAGAGAAGAGAAGTGTTAACTATTCCACGGTGAAGGGTATGTTCCAGAAGTATTCTCTGTCTGAAGTCCACTGCAGTGAAAACAATCAAGTCTTGCAGCATCTTAAATCATTAAGAGATTGGGGACAGCATAGGTTTTCATGGGTCAGAGCATATAATTCCTGAGCCGGTGTGGGGATCATCCACACAAATCATCCTTTTCCCCTGCCCTGCATCGCTCTGGGTCGCCTTCCACTTTCAACCCTACCTCTTCTTCCTTTCACAGAGGAGGTCACAGCGATGGGAGACCATGCATTCCCAGTGACAGAAGTTCTTTCTGGAGCTGGTGTGACTCTGCTACTGTTGATCATTGTAGGCACGCTTGTGCCTGCTTGTAAAATGATTAGACGGAAAAGGGTGAGTATCTATAGGTCCATAAATGGAAGTGGGAGGGAGAAAAGTATCATGGCAAGCTAGTGGAAGAAAACTTGAAAAAGCATGGATGTTTCATCTTTTGGCAGCAACAAGTCAAGAGAATGGCCCTGGCTAAGCAACACTTGCTTGCAAAGAGGACTTGTCAGTGTCAGAGGTAAGAAACAAAACACTCAGCAAATGCAAGATATCCCATATAGCCTCTGGAGAATTCTTTGCCATGCATTTCCCCCTAGCTTACCAAGGGGTAAGCTTACCAGCCAAGGAGTGAATGCACAATCTGGGGGGGACTGGCTGTCATTCCCCATCCAGAAGCAAGGCAAAGCAGGGCTGTGATGCTTCATTACAGATAAAGACCATTTTAATAGCTTTTACTTATTTTCATTTCCTGTCAAAGCATGCCATGCTTTTGCTTCTAGCACTGGTTCTGGATCTCAAGGAAGACTTTTCTTTTCTCTTTTTAAACAGGGAACTGACGAACGATTACTACCATACCTGAGGCAGAAAGCTACAGTGTTATTGACATCGGATCCATTCTGTGCCATTTCGTCCTTATACTTTGTTTTTGTTCATTTGTTTGTTTACCTTTCTTCTTTATCTTAATATATACTGCAAGACTGTGAACTGCATATATGCTGCAAATATATGGATCAAACTAGAAGTTAAGAGAAATGTCTATTTCCTTGGTTTTTCTCAGTGGCCAATCACAAAACAGAACATTGTATATGGAAGATAAGTAGAGAGGATTTTTTTCTGATACATAAGCATATTGTCCAGGCTTGACCTAAGAATGAGTGAACACAGGCAACCTTGTCTTGGATATTTCTAATATTCTTCCATGGGAAAAATTCCTTATCTCTTCAACTGATCCACAGCAAGGGTATAATTCAAAACCCTGAGTTGTGCTGACAATCATTATATGTTTTGACTTTAATAGAAGTTGCTTGCAGAACTAGGAATTTCAGATTTCCTTTCACACTCTCCCCGCCCTGGATTCTTCCGAGGCTCTCTGTGAGAGCAACGCAGCAAATTAAGCCAATGGTAGCGGGGAAAGCTGTATTACACACTTCTATCTAAGCCAGCTTGCTGTGCTATCAGAGCAGATCAAATGCAGTGAACATGCCGGTCACATGGAATTGTAAGTCATATGCCCAACCGAAAATTAAAACAAGTGTATAAATGTTTGAGTTTCAGATCTTCTCTTGGTACTGATATTTGTAAGAAAACAAAAATAAAATGGATTACATATGGCAAAGGATCTATGTCTCAATTTGTCATTGTTTTCAGCCAAACATGATTCATGATCTGTACAAATCAATTGGAATTGCAGGTCAAACAGACTGATTCAGTAAAGCAATGACCCAGCTTTCAAGCCATTAAAATTAATGTGGAGTTTATAATGCAATTCAACATTTTTCTGTTGTTAGTTTTCTTTGAACTGTATAGACTTCTGGCATTCATCCACAGACCAGCCTCGTAAAGCATGCTTCCGAGATCTATAGTTAGCAAGGGGGGGGTGTCTCAACATTTTGGGGGAAATGGCTAGAACCCTACAAGCAATCATGGTGCAGATTGCTATGCTGGCAGAGTGCTCCATGACTGCACCAGCAATCTCTGGCCTGCAAGCAAACAAACCAGACATTTTCCTCTAAAAACATCAGGGCTTACACATGCACAAGAGAGTAGTGAATACCCCCTTGTGCATTTTGTGTGAAAAGACAAGTAGTCATGCAGTGGGCTGTTGTGAACATAGAAAAAATACTGATAGGATTCAGGCCAACAAGTTAACCAAGTGTGCTTCCAGACAGAGACCCCCATAAGGCTACCAGTAAAAACACCGTTAGTCCACCGTTTCCTCTATAAGAGATCCTTTCATGCAAAAACAAAAGTGGAAGAAGCATTGAAAGCATGCAGGAGGGTTCCAAGGACAAATGGAAAATGTCATCTCAGCCCCCTGTGCAACGCAGTGAATAAAGCAGGACAGTGGCTAACATTTAACTGAACTAAGATGGCAGCGGCTGGAAATGAGACTTGCTTTGTCAGAACAAAAATATTTGTGGATGTTTTGAATGTCGCAGTCTCTGGAGGGAGGTTTCTGAAAAGAAATGTAACATTTGAAAGCCACCACTTCCCACGTGTGCTCGACCGTTCATGTGCAGCATCCAAAGCACCACGTGCCCCTTGAAAGAGCAGTTATACCAATCATCTGCGTGGCTCCGTTCAGCAGCCTGTCTACTGGCTGGGCCTCAGCCAGTCACAAAAGTCGCAAGCCGAGAGCTGCAGCCTATCTTCTGGTGTTATCGGATTCATAAATCCCTTAATTGGTCTAGTCTTAGTTCAGCAGTCGTGCATGCTCCCACACAGAGAGTTTTACACGGAACACATCTTGATCATACTGTGTATTAATTTTAATTGTCTTATCATTCAGTCCATCTTTTCTTTCTAAGCTAGACATGGGCCTCAAGTGGCTTGAAGGGCACAGATTTTGATGAGCTGTCCAAGGTGCTGAAATCTTCAATCAAGACAACTTCAGCATTTAGATAATGACTGTTAACATCTGCACTAAAACCAGTAGTGGATTCACTACCCTGGAAAAAGCAGAGTCAGCAGTTTTTATTGCCATACAGGCATCTCACTCCTTTTTTGTGCATGCTGACTTCCCCTCCCCCAGCCCCACTGCTGAAATTGCTGCTGAACAAGAAAAAGAAGAGAAAGCATCACAGGGAGCATGCACCTTGTTTTAAAACAGAATTGTTCTCCTGGAAACGCAAATCTGTTTTAAAACAAAGTGGGCACTTCTACACACCTTGTTTAGAAACAATAGATGCAGCCTGATTAGCCTTTGCTGAGTCTCTCTAAGTTGGCAGCACAGTGATGACACTAAACAAATTGTTTTTGCTTTTATTTTATTTTTCTATTTTTTTTCTGCCATGCTGTTCAAATTTAATGGAGCAGCAATATTGCAGCTCCCAGGGGGTTGGGTTGGGGTGCAGCCTGCCTAACACCCCCCCCCAGGACATTGTTCAACCTGTTCTAATCTGTTGACAACCTCAACTTCCTTAAGTTCTTCTTCCTAGGAGGAAAATGGCTTTGTGATTGAAACAGGGTGACTAGAATCACATGGAATGCTCTCAATATGGAAACGCTGTGGACTTACGTAATGGCATTAGGTTGCCTGCTTTTTATATCTAGTCCTTCTCTAATAATTTCTAACGTTCCATTTGCCTTTGTCAGTGTCGCTGAACACCAAGTTGACATTTTCAGTGAGCTTTCTAATTTGACCCCAGGATTTCTTTCCTATGTTGTTAAAGCCAATTCAGAGTCCACCGCATACATGTGTGTCGTTTGGATTATTTATCTTGAGGGGCAGTAAGCTGCAGTTATCAACAGTGAATTTCATCTATTGCTTTTTATTTTTTATTTTTTGCTCAGTCTTTCAGGATGGAGCTAGTCACCAGAAGCTCATCAGCACTTCCTTTGGATTTTGTCACCTTGAGTACTTTGCTGTGTTTTCCTCTACTCCCCACCTTCCATCCTCCCCCCCCCTCCTTTTCAGCCCATCACTACTGGGTTTCCCACTTCCTTTTGACTCTCAGTGACAGCACTTTTGTCCTCTAGGACTAACAGGTTTTCTTTTTCTCACAGAGCTGATAACTCTCTTCTAGCATGTTTATTCACAGAGAAGATGCCAAGCCTCAATCTGATAATGTTATAAATAAACTGAAGCACAGAATCTCTTCTGTCCTCATCATCTTACCCCTGTTCTTTTTAAAGTTCTCCAAAGTCTCATTTCCCAACCATTTTCCAAACTTTTTTCTTCCCAAATCCTAATCCTAACCCACTTTGCTTCCCTAAAAGCTGTTTTTCTGTGAAGTCAGCTAGCAGAGCAGAAATGAGAAGTCCTTACAGGAGGAACCATATGCATCACATGATCTTGTGTGGTTTTTTTACTCCAAACTGCCCCCACAAATATCCATGGGTTTAAGCAATCATATAACCACCATGATCATGATGACAAATGTCAAAATGTCAAAGTGCTTTTTTGATCCACAGCCACCAGTACCCTCCAATCAGGCATGACCAGAGAAGAAATAGTTTTCACAAACTCTGGTAAATTTTCAAAACTACTGGACTGGAAGGAATAGTATAGCCATTTCCATGAGGGTGTCTGACTGTTGGAGACAAATTAGGAAAGTGATTTCAGTAGTGTCTGTTGTGTTCTGCTTCTTCAGGAGCTAAACCAATATGGGGTCAGGGTTAGGGAATGCTCGCCCTTCAGGAAAGAAACTAGGAGGAGCAATTCAGGTCTGCATGAGTTTCTGAGATGCCAGGACATTCCTCAGACACTGCTTCACTTAAGGTATCCATTTTCTTAAAGATTAGATGTTGCTTTTCATGCCATTTTGATATGGGTTACGATAATTACACTTGTTAATAAAGAGGTAAGAGGCATCTCTAGCCTAAGGTGTTGAAAACCATGTAGTTGGTTAGTCATACTTAGGCAGGACATTCTAGTCTCCCTCCATCATCACATCCATCACCCTCTTACATCTGGTGGGAGGTGAGTCTAGAATAAAGACCATCAAACATGAGTATCCCAACTCACATGGAGAGCCCTCACAGGCTCATGACTCTCCACCTGTTCAGTAATTATAATCATAATAATCATGTGTCATCAAGTCAATTCTGATTTATGCCAATCCTTTTTCCCAGGTTTTTCTAGGTAGAGAATACTCAATTTCCCTTCTTCTGGGGATGCCCTGGGATGGTGCAGCATGCCCAGGGCTACATAGGTTGGCTGTACTTGCTGGAGGCCCAGTGGGGAATCAAAACTCCAAGCACTGACTCTGTGGCCAGATACCTAAACCACTGAGCTCTCCAGCCAGAAGGAGGAGTCCCATCTGGCTGTTGTTCAAACAGAGGTCTGTCCTGTGTGAAAGAGAACACCAGATCTGCTCCTCACTCTGCCCTGACTGTTTCCACAATGTTTCTGAGATTTCGCAAACCTCTCCTAATTTCTGAGTCTGACAGGTCCCATCACAGTTCCCATCACAGCTACCATAGTCAGCTGGACAGAATTATGGGAGTTCACCTTAGTCTCATAGTTTTGCCTCACAGCTTGGACAAAATATTACATGTCAAACAGTCACTTTCCAGATGTTTCTGCACTGACAGGTCTACAGAAGACTCACAAAGAGAACCCCGGTGGATTCTGGAGAAGAGGGGATGCTCTGTGGTGCTTGGAACTAACCCAGTACCCTTTTGTGACACCGTATTGTAAGGGAAGACTAATAAATAACACAAATATCACTGGAATATTGGCTTATGGGTTACATACAGAGATTATAAACAAGTAACATGTGTGTTCATAATCTCTGTATGTAACCCATAAACCAATATTCCAGTGATATTTGTGTATTGGTTTTAATGCAAGTTTCTATTTACTTTTTTAAATGCTTCTGCAATTTATTTCTTAATTCTAAACAAGGCAAAGGAGGCAGGCAGGCAGCAATGGAGTGGCAGCTTTGATTAGGTGAGCTTGGAATGAAACACAAAGCTGTAGAAAGCTTGAAAATATATGAAACTGGCTGGGTGCCAGGATTAAACCTAAGTGTAGGGGTCCCTTCTGATGCCAAGGTTATTTCTGTCACTGTGTGACACTGCAATGTCCCAGTTCACCCAGTTCCTTCCTTCCCACCCCCACCCCCATGTGATTCATGCTCCTCAAGGGAAGTGCTTCACATTGTCTCTCGGAATCAGTGAAGTCTGAATGACCACGGATGGATTTTTGTCATATATCCTCAAAACCTTAGGGAAAGGGGAGGCAAGCAAATTAAAATCTCCAGCCTCTTTCCTTCTCTTCATTTCACAGTTAAAATTTCTACAGTTGGTCCCTTTATATTACCAATATCACATAGGTTATGCCCCAGTGAAGACTGCAGTTCCCAACTTTACCCACACATGTAATGAGAATAACAAGAAGAGAGAAAAAGGGGGGGGAAACAGAACTATTCAGATTAATAGGATAATGAGATTGATGGTGTTTTCATGACAGTCCAGTGTTTAAAGAGGGATCTGTCTACAAGGAAAAAAAATAGCAATTGTTTATTATCAACTTACTAGGTACATGGAATATTTGAGGATTCACTTCTGGCCTGGTCCTTATGAGACATAGGAGAGCACGGGAGAAGACTAGCTTGGTCAGTGTTTGGATGGACCTGGAACTGAAATTCCCACGAGATAAAGCAGATGATGTGG